TAGTAAAACTGAAAGACTGAATGATTATTCATGACTAAATTATAGATTAGCATTCATTTGTTCCATAATTACATTCAGCGACCATTATAATAATTGATGTTAATACACACATTATTACTATGGTGTCTAAACAGATCATTCCTTTGTTGACTAAATCCTGAAAATAATTGAAACAATACCTCTTGGTTCTTCAGGCTCAGTTTAGCCGCTGGATGCACGGGACGGGAGGAAAGGTGAGCTCCTTGTACCTACCTACAGTAAACAAACAAACAAACAAACAAACAAACAAACAAACAAACAAACAAACAAACAAACAAAAATCTGGTGCAACGCAAAAAGTAGGAGCTGCACAGAGCTGCAGGCTGCATGTTGTCCAGCGTCCTTCAGGTGTTCTGCGCCTAAAATGTGCTCGGTGTTGCCAACGGTAAGAGCACACACATACACACACGCACCAACGAAACACAAGTGCTGCAGATACAATTATTACAAATGTTGAAAAAAGGTGAAAGAATGAATACAAAAATAAATAAAYAAACGTCTGGACTTTTCTTTGGTGCTGTTGGAAGCTCTGCGTCAAAACAGCTGCTGGCTGCTGCTTGTCCCGAGGGCAACAAGGTTCACACACAAACACACACACACACACACATACACACACACACTTACACACGACCCAATCATTCCCTGTAAAAGTGTTACAACAATTGAGCCAGTGGGCCTATTTTGGTCTGCGTGCGCATTAATGAAGTTAAAAATAACGTCTGCAACTCGAGCGCTTTTTTGGCACAAGTCACGTCAGCTGCGTCAACAGCTCCACGTTTTTTTTTACAAGTAAAAAAATGAACTTTTAATTTTCTTAATTCATCTAACCAAAAATTATGTAAACAGGTACATGTATAAAAAAACTGGAGAATTTAAAATGTTTAATTATTACATCAGATATAATAAATACAACTCGTGTTGTTTTTTTTCTCTCTCTCTCTCTCTCTCCATAATTAGAATGCGACCTTGACCTCGGCACCGTACCTC